AAGACGCAGAGACTATAAAACCCAGCTCCCAGAGGAGAACAGCGCAGAGTCTCCTGACCTCGCGCCTGGCTGTCCTCACCATGGCCCCTTGGAGGGGGGAGGGTTGAATTTCTCTCTCCACGCCCCCCCCCACCCCAAGCAGAGCCCCAGCAGCTGAGGACCTCCGGAGCCAGCCACGGCCATGCTGGGACCACTCTCCATACGTACAGACGGGCCTCATGCATGAAAGAACTGGCAGAGGAACCCAGGCATGCGGGTCCCGGGGCTGAGGTCTCCAAGCCTACTCGGATTGGGACTGGGCCTTTTCCAACAAGACCCCCCATCTTCCAGTAGGAAGGTGTCACACCCACCAGCTGCCACCAGCGTCAGGTTGGTCCCATCAACGTCCAAGACGCAGAGACTATAAAACCCAGCTCCCGGAAGCATGGGCCACATTTGCGACCGCGTGACATCTTGTTATCTTATTTTTCCATTGGAGAACCTGGCAGGCTACCAAAAGTATCCTGCCCGGACGCAGAGTCTGACAAACTTCCTGTGTCATTCTCAATATGCCAAATACCAGTAACAATGATGGGTCTCATCCTCCTAATCCTGAAAGAGCATTGAAATGGCTCTTTTAAAATCTCAGGGCTAGGAAGAAGAAGACGTTACTGGTGCCTGCTCGAGGAAATTGATGAACAACAGGATGATCGTGATCGTACTCTTTTTGGGCAACGCCTGTGGTGCTGGTGTATAGATTATATGCAGTGCCAGGGATCAAACAGGGGTTGGTTGCATTAACTCCTGTACTATCCCTCCAGCCCTTACTTATAGCCCCTATTCAGACTATCTGTTATGAGAAGTCCATTTTCAACCAAGTAGCAATTTAACTATGCCTTATGGAAAAAGATTTCTGGTTACTTTACAAGAGATTACTTTTAAAATCCTTTTTATATATGCTCACTGATACTCACCATACTAAACTTCTGATTAATACGAATGCATATAGTTTCATTATAAATAGTATATTGTCAAGCAGTTTTAGAAAATATTCTTAAAAATCCTACTGTCTTCAGTGCACAGAACAGTATTGCTACACAGATCTCACCTATTTAATTAAGTTGTCTACTGAAAAGAACCCAGAGTTAAAATACTTTCTTACTATCTTTATCAAATTGGCTAGTTGGAGATTGGCTTTTTCAAATTCAAATTCAGAACATCAGCTCTTCATTGCAGTTTTAAACTAGTGGCTGGTTGAATCCTTTCCACTTTGTTTAATTTTACCCTTTTTATGCATCAATGATTCTTATTTATGACTGCAGCAGAACACAGCAATCGATGGTGTTTGGCCTGAAGGCGGAGAAGGACCCCAAATCATGCGCCTACCCACTCTATCCTCACAATCTCTCTGGGCAGAAGATAATTCTCCTTTTGAGAAATTTATCTTAGATCTTATTCTTTTCTTCCTCACAGGAAAAATAAAATTCCGAGTCCGGGACACGGAACGTAATTAATTCTGTAAAGAAAGTAGAGCATTTGATCTTTGATTCTTCTGTCCAAAAAAGATAAAATATCTTTGTTAACTAACTTCAATGAATGCTATACTAAATCATTTATAAATGGTCTGTTATAATCTTATAAAAGGTTACATTTGCAAAAAGCAGCAATGCTTCTGGGCAGTGCTCGGGGGACCATGCAGTGCCTGGCATTGAACCTGGGGCTTAGCACTGCCAACAGCCTGCTTTTTAGCCACCTCCTGGATGCCCAGGATGTTCCTTAAAGTCACTTAGTTTTGTCGTGGAAAGTAATAGTCTGAGATCTAACAGGGGATTGCCCCCAAGAAAGCAAAAGCATCCAGAGTTCAGAGAAAGAATCATTCAGAAATGGGCTCTTCTTCACTCCCAGAATTGATTTTAAAAAATTATTGATTTCCTCCCACCAAACACTAATTTTAATCAGTTTTGTGTCTAACAGATGGCACTAAAATTGATGACAGATAAGAAACACTACATGCAGCAATACCTTAGAGCAAGCTGAGCTAGTAAAAAGCCTGATTGCTTCTTGGAGCAGAATGAGATGCTGGCGAATGTTATCTGGAACCAAGTGTTCATGACTGGGTTTTCGAAAAACGCTTTCATAATTAGTTAATCATAAGCATTTCAACTGGATTATAAATTTGTGAGCTGTCAAGCTGGTATGCTGACATTCTACACTAAAGGCTTATGGGGAGGGGGGAATCCATTTGTCAAGAGTATGAAGGACGAACACCTTGTCAGAGTCTTTTCTATGACTGCCTGTCCCTGGGGAACTGGGATTCTGCAAGGTAGTATTTGCCAGACACACAGCACTGTGGTTGTCGTCAATGGCCGTGATTATTGGGCCCACAGGATGATCATAAGAGAAGGGACAGCCCTCGGGCCTCCCTCTCTGAGGCAGGGGGCTGGAAAGGCATCCGACCTTGAAGATCCACCCCTGGGGCCTATGTGCTACAAAGGGCAAACGTCTCTTCAGCGTCACTGATGCCTTGCTAGGAATTCCCTGATCAGTGGTTTCCAGAGCAGAAAGACTGAATCGGTGGGAAAGAAGTTCTGCAGCTCTGAGGCTGAAGGCGGTGAAGACAAACTTGAGGGGCCTGGTTCGTGTGTAGTCACTGGTCTAAGGGTGTGGCGCTTCTCAGAACTCGTGTCTCCTAAAAACTCAGCACCCCGACGCTGGAAATCCAGCCTACTCTTCCCTGTCAGAATTGTGTCCACAGCCTGCAGACAGGTCCTGCTTAGGTGGATGGGATATACTTTGGAAAGGCCTGGTAGGACAAGCCTTTATCCCAAATTTAGGTAGATCCAGGGGAGAAACTTAAGAGTCGCAGAGAAGCGGCCCCACCTCCTAATCTCTCTCTCTGGGGATCCCAAAGGCTTAAGAGCGGCCTTTTGGGCCTCACGATCATGGTCACGATCATGGTCAAGGATCATCCTGTTGTTCGTCAATTGCCTCCAGCAGGCACCAGTAATGTCTCCTTCTTCCTAGCCCTGAGATTTTAAAAGAGCTATATTCAATGCTCTTTCAGGGTTAGGAGAACGAGACCCATCAGTGTTACTGGTATTGGGCATATTGAGTACTACACGGGAAGTCTGCCAGACTCTGCCATGCGGGCAGGACACTTTCGGCAGCCTGCCAGGTTCTCCAAAGTAAGAACGAGATAGTAAGATAGTAAGCTTCTGGGAGCTGGGTTTTATAGTCCCTAGGTCTTGGCTGTTGATGGGACCAAACTGGTGCCAGTGGCAGCTGGTGGGTGTGACGCCTATCTACCAGAATATGGGGGATCTGGGTGGAGAAGGCCCAGTCCTGATCTGAGCAGGTTTGGAGATCTCAGCCCTGGGACCTGCATGCCTCGGTTTCTCTGCCGATTCCTTCATGCATGAGGCTTGTCCGGATGTGTGGAGAGTGCTCTCAGCATGACTGTGGCTGGTTTTGGAGGCCTTCGGCTGCTGGGGCTCTGCTCGGGACAGGGAGGGAAACTCAATCCGCCCCCCTCCAAGGGGCCCCTGGTGAGGACAGCCGGGCGCGGGGGCAGGAGACTCTTTGGGCCTCGCAGAAAATGTTTTTTGCTTCTTGTGTTTCAAGCCTTCTGAATCAGCTAAGATTCTTCTGTGTCTGTTACACGTCAGATCAATCATTTTTCTTTCTGGGGGAGGGGGTGTTACCCGGCAGTGCTCAGGGGACTGGCCCTGCTCAGGGATCACTCCTGGAAGTGCTCGGCGGACCAGTGATAAAATAATGGTTGACTGTGTGTAAGGCAAGTGCGTTAGCTCCTATTCTATTTCTCTGTCCCCACATCCAGTCCCTTAACTCTAAGGCTTCTAGAGATTTCCCCCCCTTTCCTATAGCAAAGGATAAAAAGATAAATTCTGAAGAGTGAGTGGAACTTTTTTTTTCTTTGCAGTAGTTAAGAAATGAAAAGTAGTTATTAGAAATGAAAAGCAGTTCAGCATTTGGGGGAGAGGGTCCACAAAGGCCAAATACCCAGTTTGGCCAAATACCCAATATACTCACAATATTTTTATTGCTCACATGGAGTGAAGAAACCACAGAAAAGAACCATTTTCAGCAAATCCCCACAGAAAGTTTAGCTGCCACTGGCCCACCCCCTATGACACACCAAGGAAGGGAGTTAATAGTTTACAAGGACATGGGAATACGCTGCCGTGTACTGGAAAAGAACGGTGAGCACTGCTGGTCCTCATAACCCCCACACTCATAGAACAAAGGAACTGAGATAGTACATGAGGTCTTGGGTCCTAACGAGAAAGTAGGGAGCTAGGGTTGGACATGAGTACAAAAGGTTTCTCTCTTCTTCATCTTTTTATTTAACAAGGGGTTGAGGGGGGCATACCCAGCAATGTTCAGGGCTCACTCTTCGCTCTGTGTTCAGGAATCACTCCTGGTGGGGCTTGGGGGACCATATGGGGTGCTGAGGATCAAAGCTGGGTCGGCCACAGTGCAAGGCCAGCACCTACCGTCTGTACTATCACTCTGGCCCTTTTCATTTTCCAACACTGTATTTCCATTTGACAACTTGATATATGTCTAAGCACAAGGAAGATCATCACCCAATATTAATGATGACCTTCAGGTTTAAAGACAAGATCACAAACATCCATATTCACCACCACGCCTATGCACTTATTCTTTCTTGTCAGTGAAGGAAGACATCAGGGTGATTTTAAAACAAACACAGCATACAATAGTACATTCTCATGAAAGATTATATGGGACACGAACTATTTCGTGCAGCAAAAGAAATAAAGTCAAGAAAAGGCTGAAATGATAGAGGTAGTATAAGGGAAAGGTAAAAATAAGGGTGAACATAAAATAATGTATGAGAGAAAAGATTCTCAAAAACCCACACAGTGACATCGCCTGACCCCAAAACATCTACAAAGCCCACCAAACTCTTAATACAGGCGTGGGGAGTGTTGAGATATAAAAGTACCAAAGCAGGTAAAATATTCTTATGCTCTTACCCAGGAAGGCGGCCATGTTCATCACTTGACTGAAGACACAGCTTGCAGGAGGATCATCACCTGCAATGCTTGAAAAACAATTAACATTTGATGATTGTTCAATTCAGATCTTTAGCCATCTGCAATGGACTTAACGTTTGTGTTCCCTCAAAATTCACATGTTGTATAAGGACCAAGGGGGAAGATGTTTGGCATCTTGATGATGGAGTTGCAGGAACTTCTTAGGCCCAAAGAATAAAATTAATACTACTGGTAACCAGATTACTGCAACTGCAATTTTTAGAAAAAGTATGTTGAAATCCTAACCCAGTGTGAAATGACTATGGAGTTGGGGCCTTTGAGAATTTTTAGTGACCTTATCACGGGGATCAGTGACCTTCTCAAAGGGATGGCAGACTGATCACCATCCTCTGTCATGTGAGGATGCAATGAAAGGATGCAGTGTGGTCCTCACTCTAACTCCAATCCAGCATCCTGATCTGGAGGATGTGAGTATCTGTTTCTGGGAAGTGATGATGCTTTGTGTGTGCTACAAAGCCTACACTGCTTGGTCACAGTAGCTGGATTAAGTACCCTCCCAACTTCACTAGGATTTGGCATAAAAGAGAATTACCAAGTTACCTTATATATGGTGCGTGCTTCACACCAGGTTTTCTGTATAACAAAGAAACACAGAAGCCAGGTTAACGCATTGTCACCGGGGGCAGTTTAGACTAAAACGTGCTTAACCAATGGCAAGGTTTTTGTTGGGTCTATTGATGAAAAATGAATTACATGGAAATAAATTTTACCTTTCAGCTGAATTTAATGGGAAAATTTTGTCATCTTCTACAGCTATAAAGTATCTACAAAGAAAGATCAATAAAAAATTTATAGAACAAGTAAAAAAAAAGTCAAAAGTGTTCCTGATTTTCTTATGCGAATAATCACATTCAATCTCTTTTTTTCTAACTGGGTCTTTAAAAAAAAATATGTTTTATCTATACTTTACCTAGCTCTGTGGCATACAAGTGTCGTTATTAACATTTCTTTAATTTTTAAAACAAACCCAAGTTAATAGCAATCACTATCATGCAGAAACTGGAAAATGAAGAAATAAGACCTTGCAACTTTTTTTTTTTTTGCTTTTTGGGTCACACCCGGCGATGCACAGGAGTTACACCTGGTTCATGCACTCAGGAATTATTCCTGGTGGTGCTCGGGGGACCATATGGGATGCTGGGAATCGAACCTAGGTTGGCTGCTTGCAAGGCAAATGCCCTACCTGCTGTGCTATTGCTCCAGCCCCGCAACTTTTTAAAAAAAATTTTTATTAGTGAAACATCATGAGTATAGTCAAAGACCTTGCAACTTTTTAAAAACCAAATTTATAGGTCAAAATCCCATAGTTCTCAAGAATATGTGTCAGATTTTTAGTGAACTGTAAGGAAATGAAATAGTTTTCTAGGCATGAATGTTCTCAAAACACTGAATAAGAAACTATGTTATGGTTTGTGATAAGTCAAGACATCCAAGGTAATGATAATTATAAACATACTAGGCTCTCTCTCTCTGTCTCTCTGTCTCTCTCTCTCTCTCATACACACATACACACACACATAAGTGGACTGAGAATTGGGAAAGGAAACTGCAGCAGGCAGCACAAATCAGCAATCTAGTAAATAATGGATCCAAATGACTATTTGATAGACTGTTCCAGAAGAACACAAGAATACAAAATAAAACCATTATTCTTTGCCTGCTTTGCACCATTTATGATTCACTCTTTTTAATTTTGGTAACAAGAGAGGAGGAAAACTATGGACATCAGCAAGGTGAAATCAGCAAACATTCTTCTAAAGTTATAAAGTGACATTAACATAGAAAAGCTACACACTATCAAAATTTTACCTGTTCACCTACGCGGTTCCCAGGATAACGGGTTCGATAAGAGAATACTCACACTATCCATAATCCAGCGGAGGTGAACACAGTAAAGACGAGAGGTAGGAACATCCACACGCTGCATTTCTTCCCATCCATACCTGCAACTCTGCAAGGAAAAAGACAGCATCAGTGCCTGAGACAAAACAGATCCCATGCTTGCAAGTCAGAAAAGGAGTTTAGTTTTTTTTTTTAATTTTTATTAGTGAGACACCATGAGGTACAGTTGTAGACTTACAAATTTTTGTGCTTGGGTTTCAGTTATACAGTGATCAAATACCCATCCCTCCACCAGTGCCCATTTTCCACCACCATGGATCCCAGTATCCCTCCCACCCCCGTCCCCCCCATCCCACCCTGCCTCTGTGGCAGGGCATAAAAGGAGTTTAGTTTAACCCTCCAAAAGAACATGCTCCAAAAGAAACCATGACTCGAATCAGTGTCTCCACTATTAACCCACACCTATGGGGGATCTTTGAGCCTGTAGCCTGCATGGCTGTTAGCATTAGCTTCATATCAGAGGTTCTATTGAGAACTGATGGAAAGCTTCCCATGCAGACATTAATCCTTATACTGTACGAAAAAGGACAGAAGGGTTTTCATGAAAACTTTCAGGATAAGAGCTGGGAAGCAGTAGCATCCTTCAACTTACTTTTCATGCTATTATTAACATTTATGGGTGTGTATGAATCTACACACCAGGCAAGCACATGTGCCTGCAGCTTGGCAAGCGAGAATGTGGCAAACAAATTAACTGGAGGAAATGACAAATGCATCGCCAGTCTGAACTTCGTTCAAGACGCGTTACTGAACAGCTATCTCAGAAGACTAAGACGGATAGTTCTGGAAAACAATGCATGAGCGTAACTTGAAATTAGCTCCAACAAACACAATGCAAAGACATGTCAGATGCCAGGAATTTGGTTATTCGATTTAAAGGCAAAAATAAGCAAATTTAAAAAGTCCTCACCAAATGAAGTGAAAACCAGAAAGATTCCATGAGTGACTGCCACCAGAGAACAGAAAGAAATAACTAATTATCACTTCCATGCTCCAAATCATCAGTTTCTTTGAGACACTGGAGGCCAATAACTTTCAAGGCATGCGCGCGTGTGCGTACACACACAAACACACACACACACTCTCATACTCACACTCTCACACACACACACGTTTTCTGAGAAAACAAAGAACCCAGTGGGCTTCGGGGGAGCTGGCAAAGAGAAGGTCAGTGCAATTAAGGGGCACCTACTCTAAGGAAATATCACTGCTCATTATTTTGAGGGGTTACATTGAACTGCAAAAAGTCATTCGGGTTTCAAACAGCAGGGCCACAGAGCTGAGGCTCTGTGGTATCTGCTTTTAGGTGCTAAGAATCTCTGGAACCTTCCAAGTGTTCATCACAGAGAGTGACTCTTCCCTTTAGAGAAGGGCATTCCTTCTCCATCGGTCACCTGCTCGGTCTCCTGAATTGATCTGTCTAAGCTGTGCCTTCTTGTCAGGCGAGAGACAGACAGCCAGACCCAATCATGTTGCCTAAACAGCTGTGCTGTGGTCCACCGCAGAGCTGGGGGATGTGTCCAATCAATGATTAAATCCAGGAGAATGACGTGAGAGCCACGTTCCATCAGTTGAGCCCGACCCAATCCAGGGCAACTCAGCTCACGAGGATCCACACTCTCACGTGTGCCAGGCTCTCTGCGAGGGGTTGCCAACCAGAGGACCGGGTCTAATGAGCACAAGTTCTAGGGAAGAATCTCTGCAATGCAGGGAAGGGGTCAGGATGTGCCCAGGGCACAGGAGCACATGCCTGGCCTGCAGAGGGACTGGGGTTCAATTTCGGGTGCCGCATGGCCCCTTAAGCACAGTCAGATGCTAACTGTAGAGGTCCTCGTATAGCTGGCCCAGAGCAGCTGCATTTCTGGGCCCGAGCATTAAAGCAGGTTGGGTGCACATCTTTAGGACTGGCTCCTTGGCTGCCTTGGGGCTGCTTGGGAGGATCGCCCTCCCCTTACCACTGTAGCACTGTAGCACTGTCCTCCCGCTGTTCATCGATTTGCTCGAGCGGGCACCAGTAAGTCTCCGTTGTGAGGCTTCTTGTTACTGTGTTTGGCATATCGAATACACCATAGGGAGCTTGCCAGGCTCTGCCGTGAGGGCGGGGTGCTCTCAGTAGTTTGCGTGGCTCTCTGAGGGGGACAGAGGAATCAAACCCGGGTCGGCCACATGCAAGGCAAACGCCTTACCCGCTGTGCTATTGCACCTTGCCATGGAAAGGAGAAAGGAGCGGTGAAAAGGTGGGTCAAAGGGACACTTTATAAGCAGGAGCCCTGGCTTGGCCCTCACTCAGCTCTGCGGAGTTCCCTAACACTGCCATGAGTAACTCCCAAGCACTGTGGACCACCACACCTCCCTCCCCGCCAAAAAGAAGGGTAAAGAAAAGGCAAAGCTATTGTGTAAGTCAGAGGGAACAGGTGGGATAACACAGCTTGCAGTGTGCGGCCCAAAAGCAGGCCCCCAGAAGCCATGACAAGCTGCAGCTAACATTAAGTCTCAACTAGGCCCCGATTTCTGTTTCCCTGGAGCAGGACTTGCCGTTTCTGATAAACTCCCAGTTACGTAATTTGCCCAGCTAAGGAATTGGGCAGTTGGGTCTGGCCGTCATGAGGAGTCACTGTCCCCTCCTTGGAAACTGTTGCCAACCATTGCCTAATTGCTGACCACCATTGTAATAGGGTCAATGCTGAAAATAGACCAGTTATAAATTGCCTCTTAACTCTGAACCCTAAATAAACTGCTTGTGATTGGAGTCGGGGTCCTTGTCAAAACGCCACTGCATTGGATGAGACTTGGGCCCTAACTCGGGTTAGCACTGACTCGGGCTAGTAATAAAGTTCCTTTGCTTTTTGCATTGGGCTGGAGCGATAGCACAGTGGGTAGGGTGTTTGCCTTGCACACAGCCAACATGTTGGCCGACCCAAGTTCTATTTCTCTGCCCCTCTCGGAGAGCCCGGCAAACTACCGAGAATATCTCGCCCGCACGGCAGAGCCTGGCAAGCTCCCCGTGACATATTTGATCTGCCAGACACAGTAACAAGTCTCAAGATGGAGACGTTACTGGGCCCACTCGAGCAAATCGATGAACAACGGGAGGACAGTGACAGTGACCTCTGCTTTTGCATTATCGTATGTGGACTCAGTCTCTCTCCGTGATTGGGGGTCAGAAACTCGGGCACGACAATATAATGGAGAAGAATGATGAACATTTCAAGCAGACACATTATGGCATGTCAGTGTCTATTCATTTATGTCCAGAAAGTTGTGGGCACATAATACAGTTATTAATTATGCTAACAAAAATAATTCAGCAGGAGGCGTTTAAAAAATAGGAGTGTTGGTTGAGCATGTAAACCAATTATTCTCTATCTGCTCTTGAAATAGGATGAGTGCTCAGGGGACCATATGGGATGGCGAGGATGGAACCCGGGTCAGCTGTGTGCAAGGCAAGCACCCGCTGTACTACAATGTCAGCGCCATCGAGTTAGCTCATTTCTTTTTTTTTTTTTTTTTTGCTTTTTTTTTGGGTCACACCTGGCGATGCACAGGGGTTACTCCTGGCTCTGCACTCAGGAGTTACTCCTGGCAGTGCTCAGGGGACCATATGGGATGCTGGGAATCGAACCCGTTTTGGCCGCGTGCAAGGCAAACGCCCTACCCGTTGTGCTATCTCTCCAGACCCAGAGTTAGCTAATTTCTTAAGCTAAAAAAAAAAAAAGAAACTTAAGAAGCAACCCTATGGACCTAGGCCAGCTATTTGTTTTAGTTTGGGGGCCACACCTGGTGGTGCTCAGGTGTGGCTTACTCCTGGCTCTGCACTCAGAGATCACTTCTGGCCAGTGCTTGGGGAGCATGTGAGGTGGTGGGGATAGAACCCAGGTTGGCCGTGTAGAAAGCAAATGCCTTATCCACTGTACTGTCTCTCTAGTTTTCAAGTTAATTCACTTCTTAGGCCCATGAGGTTGATTCTCACTGTGCATTTTCCTAATGATGCTAAGATGTTAGGAGCTTGAGTCTGGCGCCTTAGACCACTCGGCCATCCTGATAGCACAGCGGTAGGGCATTTGCCTTGTGTGCAGCCAGCCCTGCCGAGCCAAGTTCGATTCCTCTGCCCCTCTCGGAGAGCCCAGCAAGCTACTGAGAGTATCTCGCCCACACAGCAAGCTACCTGTGACGTATTCAATATGTCAAACACAGTAACAACAAGTCTCAAAGTGAAGACGTTACTGGGCCCTCTTGAGCAAATTGACTAACAATGGGAGGACAGTGCTACAGTGCTAAGCTGTTACGGCAATGTGTACCTGTCAAGATACATATTTGGCACATATTACCTTATCATCTCCTCATTCTCTCACTTTTATTTTTTTGCAGTGCTAGGGATTGAACCCAGGGTTCACACATGCAAAACAAGAGCTCTACCACTGAGCTACCTCTGGTCCTTGGCTGTATCTTCTTTTAAATTTTTAGAAAATATTTTAGACATCATATTTTCAATATGGTTAATGGTAGGGTTTCATGCACATAGAGTTCTAGCATCTAGCATAGCACCCTCCACCTGAACGTTCACTCGACCACACCTGCATGGTCTCCGCCTACTGTCTCAGTGTCCCCTGTCACCCTTCCCCCCAATCATGTCCCCCCAACATGGTAATCTTACTTTTGGAGACTAGTTCTTAGGGCATTTGTTATTTCCTTAGTGTTTATTAAGCCATATCTTATTTAGAGAAACTCTGCTCAGGTCTTCTGTCAAATTTTACATTTTCAAGTTGGAGTTGTTTTGGTTCTTTTTTGTATGAGGTTGATATTGGGTCACATTTTTTCCCTTTTGATTTTGGGGGCTACTCCCAGCTTGGTGCCAGGAATTGAACCCGGGGCTCCTGCATTCAAAGTATGTGTTTCTGCCCTTTGAGCCATCTCCCTGGCCCTGAGTGGTAGTTCTTTCTATATACTGGACATTAATCCCCTCAGCACATATCTGATTTACAAAATCTTCTCCCTCCATGTAAGTTGCCTTTCATAATGTCCTTTGATGCACAAAAGTTTAAAATTTTG